AAAATTGTTTTGAATAGTTTTATTTAAACAACAAAAGTCTCAAAGCTTTTCATAATTATGAAGCTTTTGAATTATGAAAGAAACTTACAAAAGTGAATTATTTTTATTTATCTTTGATGAATTTGAAAAGTAAAATAAAACAGTTTCAAATCTGTTTATTAAGTTTTTGTTCGTCATTAATAGGGAGAGGATTTTGTGGATTTTTAACGAATCCCCCTATTCCCTAGCATCACGCCTGATTTAAATGACTGCTTCTCAAAAATCTCATAAAAATCCTTTCAAAACTAAAAGTCTTCATAATTTAAATAAAATGTTCATAAAAATTTGAACTTGATATTCATGCAGTACATAAAAAAAACTCCCACAATCAGCATAAATAACCTAAACAAAAAGCATGAAGCTTTACTTAACAATATCGAATGAAATTTATTGTTTCGTAAATTTGATCATTTTTAAAGAAAATAGAGAAAACATGAATAGAAGGATAAGTGGAAGGAAAAATGAATAAAAATTCACAAAATTATTATAATAATAAAAAATATGAAATATGAGATAAGCATAAAAATATCCCTGAATCAAGAAATATAAAAATATCTAGAGCAAGTTGATAGATTTTTGTGTGTAGGCGCATGGAAAGCTTTTTTGGTCAAATTTTAATATTTTCTGCAGCGTTTTTCATCATTTTCAGCTCTGGAATTTAGATATCAGCATTAACATATCTTACTATATATACAAACTTAATCCTTACTTCTAGTTGCTTCTAGCAGTAGTGGCCAACCTTTTTGATGGTAAGCGATTACTAAAACTGTACACGACATAGAGTCCGTTCACGTTTGACGTTCAGGGGGGGGGAGGGGGGGTCAGAAAAAAAACAATGAGCTGAAATCCATTGTTCTTTTTTGAAAAATGACCATTAATTTCCCACGTCATAAATGAACGACGTTATACGGATTTCCCGAATTTTTTCGTAGCACATGGGTTGGCTATTACTAATTTATAGGGATGTGCAATAAAAGTACGCAAATGTAAGCTTTACAAAGTAGGGTGTAGATGTCTTAGAGTAGGTGTGTACTGCTAAAACAGATCCTTAGACGCTGAAACTTCAATTAATTAATTCCAATCTACAGCACAGTCTCCAGTTGGACCAGAACTACTATTTTGATCTCATTACTGCTTTTATCATAGCAAAGAAGGTTTTAAGCATCAATTCCAGTACATATGCTAGGAAAAAGCAACATACGATAATTTTATCATGTTAAGTTTCGAACTCATGATCACTTTGTTGCTATCATAATAATCAGGTACCAAATGATGATACCAATATGCCACCGAGCCACAATCAGCTCATCAAGACAAACTCACAACAAACCATCATCAACTCAAAAAAACTACAATTCCAAAAAAATCATGATAAAAAAGATGAATGTGAGTAGATGCAATAAAGAAAAGAATAGCAAATTCATTAGAATATCGGTTTCACATAGCAAAACGTGACTAGAGATAAGATCAAGAAGTGGAAAAATTCAATTTCAAATGTGTTGAGCTCGATGCATTTTCGCCTTGCTAATAAAATTTTATTTTTATTCCATTTGGAAGTTTATGAAAACAATTTGGGAAATGCTTGCTTATGTACATGACTTGAGATATGAATTGGCATTGTTGAGTACTTGCTTATTTTGAGGAAAATAGAAGGAAGTCAATAAAAAGAAATTTTATGCTTTGTGAAAACTTTCATAGAAGCTTAAGAATTTAAAATTTGAAAAATTTTTTGATTCCATTACCTCTGACACTGAGTTTTTCTATAAAAATTTAATTATTCAATTTCCAGCTAGGCATTAAAACATCGATTTTTTTTATTTGCATCATCAAATCAATTTCGCTTCCTTAAATCGAGAAAAAAGTGACGATAAAATTTATATGCTTACAAATTTATGTCTACATGCACGAATATAGGATATCAGTAAATAAAATGTGATGAAATGTCGTCAACATAGGACTCTAAATTGATCATTGGATTATCATTTTATGCTTCTTTATGTATATACATATAAAATTGCTGTTGCAGTAAAAAAATGAAAATTGCTTGACGCTGAAATTACACTTTTATTTTTACAGCAGCAAATTGTCGCCGCGCGATCCAATATTCTCTGTCATTTTCTGATAGAATTTGATTTTATTGAGCGACAAAATTGTTAAAATAATAAAAAGTGTAAGCTTCCAAAAATTGAAACAATTTTTAAAATACATGAAAAAAGTCATAGAGTTTTGAGGAAGTGGGTGCAGTTTTTGGTTTGGCTTAAAATTTGACTTTATAGGTTTTTAAGAATTAAAAGTTTGTCATCTGGCTACACGCTTAGTATTAGGAGGTCATTGTTAGGTTCATAAGGTAGGCGGTAGTAGTAAGAATTTAGTCTCGATCCTATTATCAGCTGGTTTCTTGTAAAACCTTTGCCATCCATAGTGTACATGGCAATGATTTTTATGAAAAAAACAGTCACAGAAGGATTGAAACCATCGACTTTCGAGTTATGTCATCAAATATAAGCTCATGCCGCTAATGATTACTTCACAGAGGTACCTAAGTACTGTTGCTATACTTAGCACTAATATAGGCTTAATTAAGTTACATAAACCTTCCTAGGTTTCTATGGGGTTACTCTAGAAACTGTTTTGCATCATTAAACTTCAACTATCATTGAAACTTCAATTTTAGGTAGTCACAACGTCAAATCAAACTTTTTATCAAAATAATCTGTTAAAAATAAACTAAAATTTCAGTCCCTGAAGCTGACAGCAAAAAGTATTGAAAATTACGCTCGATTAGTGTAACAAAATGAATAGTTTCAATTTGCTGTTAAAAAAATTGTGAAAATCACTTGCGAAATTGCCAATGGAACATTTTTCCGCTGTATATATTCATGCTAAATGATTCATTTGGCAAATTTCACCTCGAAGCAATTTCAATTGGATTAAATGGAAATAAATTGCCATATGAGAACTGAGACTGAACCATTTTCATCGTCTTGTTCAGCTAAAGTTGTAAATTAAGACTATCTGAATGTTAAATAACGTGCAATTTATTCACGTCGTCGCCGTAATGAACTTGAAGGTAAAAACATTTCCTAGTCTACATTTTAGTAATCAATAGTTAATGAGGATATAGCTGTGAAGTATATCATAGCCAGTTGCATGTCAAGAATCGATGATTAGACGGAAGTATAAAAGTTTATTGACGAATGTGTAGGCAAAAATTTACACATATTTCCTCCCACGCATGCATGCATGGCATGTGTCTCGCAAAGCGAGGCTTAATGCTTCCCTAAATGCTTGAATCTTAAGCTTTCACATACAGAAATGAGAAGGATATTAATACACGTGTATGACTTTCTGTAACAACAGAATTTTCATGTGAATTGCTCACGGAACTGAAATATATTCTCGTCGTTGCTGTCGACATTTTTGTTCATTAATATTTTGCTTTACTGTTGCGAGGATTTGACTTGGCATTTGGTTGGTGGATTTTTACTTTATTTTTTGATTCTAAGAAAAAGGCGATTTGAACTTTTGTGTTAAATTAATTAGTTCTGAAAAAATCATAGCTTTAGGTTGCATTATTTTTGTGGGAATGTTGATAGCTTTAAAGAGGGCTTAAACATGATGAAGACTAATTTTTTTTAAGAAATGTGGGAATGTGGGAGTGATATTTTTGCTTACCAAACACTAAGTTCTGGGGCATTTCGAGCTGAAGTAGTTTCTTCGGTACATTTCTATTGCAACACCGATCCAAACAGTTTGCTGGATCATAAGTTCATAAAATCTCCTTCAGATTAGTCCACTATCATTTCCTAACCTTCCAAAAAGTTAAATAACATGTAAATTGTGTCAATAAGACAATAAAAAAAATTTCTCCAATTTATTTAATTTCAATCACATCCAAAAGACTCAACATTGTCAATTAAAATTCACAAAACACATCAATAGACTCATTCATTGAGAACAATAAACCTTGAAGTCTATAATGTACTTTCCATGTTCATAACAATAAATCACAAAAATTCTTCAGCTCATTTCCATTACGAATTCCGATTATTACACAAACACAAAAAGTAGTGAAAAGTTGTTGATGATAAAAAGAAGGTATTTCGCAATTCAAGTTTAATGATTTCACTTGCTAATCCATTTCCATTTACTTATTCATTCATTCCAATTGCCTATTGCATCACAATTGAAAATAGAAGAGCTTAATACAAAAAAAAAAAAATATTTTTTTAATCGTCTCACTCATTTAACTACTCAAATAGAGAAATTAAAGCAATGTAGACACGTACAAATGGTGACGAATGTCGACGAGAGAAAATGTACTATGACATAATTTCATCATCGTAGACCAGCAAAACGCTTTTATGTGCTCATTGTATGCTAATGAATAAAAATCTTCGACACTTTATCACAGAAACTTGAGTCATGTCTTCTGTCCTTGAAGTTGAGATTTTAAAACGTTGAATGAATTTTAAGTGACGGTTCAATGAATTTTACAGAGTTGTCAAGAAGTTGATGGAATCGATAGATTGTGATGCAAAGAGTAAATTGGAAATTATAGCATTCAATGGTTGACTTTTGCTTGACTAAAGTTTAATTTTCTATATTTTAATATCTTCTTTATATAGTGCCTTTATATGATAATCTTTGTACATACTAGGATCACTAAGAACTGGGATAATTATAAATTGTAGTTGACTTCGAGCTCTGCTAGAAACCGTCCTATAAAATGTCATAAAGTGAATTTACTCGATCATATAATGTGCAAGATTAAACAGAAAGCTAATTACATGTTTAATAACATGAGAAATTACAGAAGAATTCTGTCTAGGACTCAAAGTTATTGACTCTTTCTAACAAAGTTCTGATTAAATTTTCTAAGTTTCATTTATAAACTTTTTAAGATCCAGCATTTATATTGAAGGTTAAGCTTTATCGGCACATAAAACTGTTTCAAACTTCTAGTTCTGATTGCAGGGTTTAACTTGAATGATTTGATGCTTAACTTTCCTATGCTTTATTGGTTTCTTTTGATTCTCAAAAACAAAATATCCTCCTCTCATTGATTCTCGGCATGCAATGTAATTACTTTTACAATTTATAGGTATGTTACTCAATACAGGATGTCTTGTTGGTAGTATTTGATCACATTTGATTGTGTCAGGTTTTCTATCGATGATAAACTTCTTTCGCCATTTGCTTATGTTCAACTTCCTTCTGTTGATGCGATTGTTCAAACTATTGACGTGAGCCTCAATATAATCCTTCCATTTAAACAAAATAGTCTCAACCAAGAAAATCAGCAGTGAAATTAGTAATCCAGCTAGTAAAATTATCATCGGAAGTGCCATATCTTTAAATTTAACAAACATATGTTGAAATTGCTCTGGAGGATTGGCAGAAGGAAATCTGTTTTCCAATGTCTGTTTCTGCCAGAATTTATAAAAACCAGATGTCATCAAATTGTCCACAAACTGCACAAATTCATCGATATAATAGTATCCACTACTGACTAAATATGATTCTTGTATTTCCATCAATGTTATCTTATCAAATAGACGAAGACCGTCCCTATAGTTATGCATAGATTGAATGAATGCATCAGCATATATACAAAATACAAAATAAACCAGATTTTCATCGAAATCGTTTGGAACCTTTAGGATTACACTTAGTTTTTCACTAATAAAGTTAATGATTAAATCTTCTCGAATGTACGGTAATCCGGTTAACTTTGAAGCATTGTTGTTAAGGTATAAGAAAAACTTTGCATCTAAGTCATTCAATTCCTTGATGCTATTTGCTGATCTCATTGATGGTTCAGCAAGCATGGCTGATATGACAACTGATTCATACAAAGATACAAGGATGAATGAACTGAATATGAATGTATAGACTAAGATTTTCTCTCTTAATGAGATGCGTTCGATTCCGGAGGCACCGCGTTTTAGAATAATCTTGTAAACAGCCGAAAGGATTGACGAATAAGTCATTTCAGTTGTGATTAAATACCAGCATATGATAACTGAAACTGTTGACATCAGAATTAAAACCAGTTGATCAATTGCAAGATTAAAGTTGTTAATAGCTGATACAGGAATATTTCTAGGTACGAGTAGACATAGACCACTCATTTCATTAATAAAGACATTTTTAACGCTTCTTTCGAGAAATGTTGAGCCTGTTTCTAAAGAAATATCTCCGTAACTATCTAAATACGAGTGAATGCCAACTGTTGTTGGTAGTTCTGTTTTCTGATTTATAATTTGGTAGAAAGTTCCAAGTCGATTGCTGAATTCTTGAATCAAGTTTCCTTCAGCACCAATGATCTTTCCATTATCCACAAAGTTCATTAGATTAGCACCGTAAAATACAATGTAGAGTGGCGATGGATCGTTAGGATCTAATACATCCTTCATAGCTAGAAATTTTTCATCTTTTGACCGATTCAATACCATCATTACCTCGTTTTTTATATTTTTCCTGAAAATAGTGCGGTAGACATCAAATACTCCATTTTCATTTTGAATTACGAGATAAATGTTGAAATATTTCCTCATTGATAATCTCTTCCAAACTGTAACAGCATGCAAAATACTCTTTTCTGACAAGTCGAGCACAATAAAAATTTTCAATGATTTATCCAAAAAATTTACATAGAATTTGAAATCAACAACAGTTTCATAGTCCAACTTGTAATTAGCTATCAATATTAAAATGAAATCCTGTTGTCTGTCAACTATTTCATTTGACGATAAATCATGTATTGTTAATGTTATTCTATCCTCTGTGTAGTACAGAAAATTATCTAGGAATTCAGTACACACCGAGCATGTGTTGTAGTATCCAAATGACAAAACTACTATATCGTACATCCCTGCTCTCCTTGTTTTGCTGTTCATCACCATTTTTAATATTTGCTGTGAAGAATTTGTCCATTTTTGAACTTCGTTTGTGATTTTTGGGATAGAATTCTTTATTGTTTGTAGCTTCGATCCATAGCTACATAGGACCAGGATATAAGAAATAAAAAGCAACTGCATCTCAAAATGTGAATTTTATTTCAAGCCTCAATAATAATAAAACGACTGAGTGTCTATGATACAATATCCGAACGATACCTTGCTTTGCTGATTGAAATTTTGAGATATAGGATTTTAGTAAACAACAAATTATAGCTTTGCGATTTGCTTCAATTAAAAATGTTTAATGCTATATAGTTGCCGACTCCGATTAAATTAGTGTCATATTAGTTACTATTGTAGATATGACTAAGGTTAACACATTACTTTCAACCGAGGCGTGGAAACTCAGGATTAATTCCCTAAGGGGCCGTTCACTTATGACGTCCCGGAGGGGGGGGGGGTGTCAGCTAGAAAAAAACAATAGAAATTCCTGGAAATTCATCGTTCTTTTTTGAAAAATGACCGTTAATTTTGGACGTCATAAATGAACGACCCTTAATGCATATGATGAACAATTTCGAGATTTTAAAGTGATTTCATATTTTCTTGTTTATTGGTTTGAGGATTTTTTAAGATTTTCCAGCATTAATCCTGAGTTTCCACGCCTTGATCCCAACATTACAGGAACTCAACATAACCCATTTACATGAACTTCTTAAACTCGCGAGAAAAATACAGAAAATTCTTGAAAAAGCTCCAGAGAAATGCCTTTATTCTCCAATTAAAGCTGCCCATAATTCACATCCTTAAAGCACAACAATCATCAGACTTTTCTGTAGCAAAAAAACAAAAGAGAATTCAAGCACAGCCAAAAAAAAGAAGAACAAAAGAGCCGATAACGCAACTTTTTTGTTCTCTTCCGTCTCTTTATATTCTGTATAAGCTTTTAAGATACAAAAAAATAAAAAGATTCGGAAGAATCAATATCAATTATTGATGCGAAAGAATCAAAAGCGAAATGACTTGAATAAGAATTTTTTTCTTTTTAAGATTTATGAAAAGTTTTTTTTGATGTGTTTTTGCTGTGATTTTGGGGATGGAAGACATGTGCTGGTTTGAAGTGATTTTTTTTTGATAGAAAAGTTAAAGTTAACTTGAAGATCGAATGTCTTTTGAAGCTTTAGAGACATTTTTGGAGCTCATCTGAATTGAATTACATTTATGAATGATTTTAAGACTTAGAATTGCTTCTGATGGTCTATAAATTGCTGTTGGTCATTGACACTCCTCAAATGATGCCAGAAACATTTGGTTACACTAAAGCTCATTGAACCAGCAAGTCATCATCACTAGAAATAGCTTTTTCACATCAATAAACACAGCACCATTAGTTCCTTAATCCCAAATTAATTTCAAGCAATCAACATCTGCAAAAACCATTCAAATAGTAACTTTAAAATATATTTTATAAACAAATTTGCCATCAAAAAAAAACTTTAAAATCACCAAACTTTCTCTTACAAATTTTTTTTGGATAATTTTCATCTCCCATTGTTGATTCAATTAAATTAACTCGGTGAATGGTGCAATTTAACGAATTGAAAGCAACTCATTTAAAACAGCAAATGTTGATTTTTATTTGCTCAAGTGAATTAAATTGAAATTAATTTTTTTTTCGTTTGAAGAGTCTGCAAATATCATCAGCATAATCGAAGATCAATTTGGAATGAGATTGAAATATTGCTTCTACGTGAGCAATTGTGTTATGCAATTTTGATTAAGCTTTTCAGTTATGATGTTGTTTTTGACTCAAGAAGAGAATGAGAAGCATATATGCTGTCATAAGCTACTTGTTGGTGGCAAATTACTGAGAATTGAGCGATTGTTGTTTTGGAGAAATTGAAAATTAGTTTAAATCTGTGAGAAAGATAAATAGGTTGAATATTTTGTGAATGATGTTGAAATCAAGAAGAAATCAAGAAGGGATAGTTTTCGACTAAAGTTGTAAACCCTTTTCCTGGTACCTACTTTTGTTTTAAACCTTTATAATAGATTTTAGCAGTAAAGCAGTTAAGTGACTTGCTGGTCAAATACGTAAGGCGCTTGACTGATTCAAAATTTGTGTGGTAACTCAAAGGTCGTCAGTTCGAATCCAGCCACTTCAAAATTTGTTCTTTTTCAGAAGTTTTTATCCTTCGACTGCTTAATGAATGAGATCAAGCCATGGTTGGACATTTGGGCAACGTTGGATTAAGGAACGGATCAGAAACTTGAAGTGTAGCGGGAGAAATGTGAACGAGAGCTACAAGATTACCTTATAATGGAATATTGCCAGAACGGACCTGAAATGTATCATGTCACGCTTACAGAGGATCGAAACGAGAGCCTGAATTTAATCGAAACCTAGATTTGAAGATTAGAAGCTTGATTCTACGTCACCCATAGTGATATGAAATGTATCACTAATCAATGTAAAAAGTAAAACATGTATAAATACTAATTCTTCCGGACAGTAACGTCGACAAACAAATAGTAAATAATTTGCGTCATTTTCTGTTGACTTCTAATATGGAGAAGGCTTAATTCGGACGAAAAATGACAAGCTATATTTTTATGGATAAATATTGAGCCCTTCTTAGGTCATTTAAGGTTTAACTTCTATTTCTTAAGCATTCCCCAATGAATTTACACTAAAATTTTGAAACGAACCGAATTTAATGAATCTTAATGAATTTTGCATTAACTTCGCAGTAACTTCCATTATCAAAAACACTACAAAAAAATTAAATTCTATTATTTTATCACGAAATTGCAAATGAAATCTCATGCAGTAAACCAGAAAAACCAGACTTTTATTATTGTACTCGCCAAGTCCATTAAAAAAACATATTTATTATCATACAGCATGCTGTAAAAACTTTTTTGTAAGTACACAAAAATAGTCAGTGCGGAAATTAAATAATGCCTAAAAAAATGCAATATTCAGTGCACATCTGAAGGTAATTTAAAGCACTCGGAAATAAGTAGGTTCTTCGTGAGCATTAAAATCACTTTACTTAAAAAAAACCAGCTGTCTTTACTCAATTGCAGCCTTTCCATTCCTCCCTTTTTTGCAATTCATAGATGATTGTTTTTTAATGCGAAGTTATTGCAAAAATGCTGACTTTCTCTCGTGATGATGAGCGTCTGTGATTTATTTGGTGCTGCTTTTAATAATTGCAGGTTTTAATTAATACATTTTAATTTCGTAATATTTTTTTTTGGGATGTTCGATTTGCTTGGTATTTAGAATTGATTGAATTAAATTATATATTGAATATGAGACCAAAGGAAGGTGGGGCAGGCAGAGGGGATGGTTAAAAAATGATGCTCAAAATTTTAATGACTTGCTTTAAGTCTTTTGAAATCTTTTGACAAGGCGTACACACTTAGGGAACTTCCAGAAGTTTCTAAGTAATGTTTGGGACTTCCGGAAATTCCGGATGTTTGAAAAGTTTCTCCGATAATGAAAATTATGTATTCACATTAAGATCATAAAGTTCGATTTTTAAGGCTGAACGGGGCACCCTTTCCCTAAAATTTTTATACCCCAGAGGGTTAAAATTACGTATTTTGATTAACGTCATTTATGAACGAGTCTTAAAATTAAATCCACTGTTTCAAGACTTTTAACTGTTTGATCGGACAATAGACAATAGTAACGGAGCTAATAAAAAAAACCCGAGCTCTCTACAATGTCTAGTTAAAAAGTTTTTCTTCAGATGAACGAGCAGCCGAACGAACGAACGAACATTTCGCATTATTAAGCTCCCTTTTTGCATACAAGTATACAAAAATGCGCTAAAAACTAAGGAAATTAGATATTGAACTTACGTGTCAGCAACATTAAATGAGGAATTTTAATATCAATTTACAATCTATGATGCAACTTTCTATCCCAGTCCACTCCGAGTTTAATCCACCGAGATTTCAAGACACGTGAAGGAAATAAATCCAAAACAGCTCCGATAATCTCTTCCATTACATTGTAATGATCGATTTTAACACCTTCATTTATCATCGAACCTTTCCTATCCATCACTTTTCTCAATGACTACTGTAGCTTATTGTAACATAAACCCATCTTACAGACGACATTAAAGATCAAAGAAATGAACGGATTAAGGTAATTTTGTAGAAAATTACCCACCATTAAATTACCTGCTTGCATTATCTACTTATAACAACATCAAATACTTTTCAGGCAATTAAGTTTTCGCTGTTGTTTGTTGAATGCGTTCAAATTACGAATAAATTGAGCATCGTATTTACACTCTGACATTATTATTATTATTTTCGAAAATAAGTTTTTTAATGCGAAAATGCTTCTGGCCTTAATACAGCTATTATTTAATGTTTGCAATTTTCAGAATTGAAGAGATCGATAATTTATCATTTTGTTATTTAATCGATGTCAATGAGCTTTTTGATACAATAAGTAGCTGGAGGATAATTGGAGTTAATTAATAATCATTTCTGAGAATCGGTCATTCACTTTGAATCCTAGAAATGAAAATGGTGTGGAAAGAGGCTGGTTAAACTGATAATTGCAGAAATATTTAATTGATTCTCATGAATTTCAATACCCCGTTTTAAACCGTGCTCTCGATGCGGTTCAAAATGTTTAAGGAGGGGGGGGGGGGGGGTGACAAGACCCTCTTGGCTAAGCGCCTAACGCAAGGACTAGATTTTAAGTTTAAATTTCGTTACTGAAAGTAAAAACATATGAAAAACATGCCAAGCTTTCATAAAGCCAAGATCGCAAAATAATCACAAAGCTGTTTCATTTGGGGCCGTTCACTTATGACGTCCAGGGGGGGGGGGGGGGGGTGTCAGCAAGAAAAGAAGAATAGAAATTCCTGGAAATTGTTCTTTTTTGAAAAATGACCGTTACTTTCGGACGTCATAAATGAATGACCCCCTTTGGGGTCGTTCACAAATGACGGCCCTCAAAAAATTATAGCTTTAAACTTTAATTTCAGTTAAATTTAGTAAAGAACTGCTCAGTGCTAGACAAGGGGAAGACAGCGTGATATTTTATAAAAATGTCACGTCAGAACTTTTTTCCATCATGTTGTATTCCCCTTCATTCTAGGCAACCCTTACAAAATGATAAGAAGTCATTCATGAATGATCAATCAAATTGAGAACATTTTTGTATTTAAGAGAGGAACAAGAACCTGAAGAGAAACAAGAATAACGAGAAACAGTACATTAATATGAATTGTAAGGTGTATAATTATTAAGAATCGTTATAGTAAGTTGTACTCAATGAGATACAGACACAATAAAATGAGAATTCTTTTCAAGATTTCAGAGAGGATTTTGCGGTCAAACTTTAATGCTGTAAGTTTTTGTTTTGATTTGAGATTTATTTTCAAATTTCTTTTGATTTTTTCAGATAAGTCAAGTACAACTGCAAGGTTTATTCTTGAAATGAAGTTATTCTTGTAAGATAAAGTTAAATTTATTAAAAATCATATTCTCAATTTTAAAATTTTTCTAGCTTAATTTCTTGCCTTATAATCTTATTCGGAGATTCATCAGCATCTACAGTTATCAATTGTTTCTATGATGACAGTAGATATGAAGCTATTGGTGTCTTATATGACTGTGAAGTCAAAAACAATCCAAATATAACATCTAAAGAATCAGCACAGATTAGTTCAGTAACTGGTTCACATCATTGGTTCAAAAATAATAATGATGTTGCTGGATTCGCTGTTAAAAGTCAGACAGTCCAGTATTTTCCAAAAGGTTTGGACGATACTTTCAAAAATCTCAAATTGATTTCCATCAAAAAATGCGGCTTAAAGGAAATTCATCAATCAGACCTAAAAGGCTTTTCAAAACTTACATTCTTAAATTTGGCATTTAATGATCTTGAAGTCATTGAGAAAGGTTTGTTTGACTTCAACCCGAATTTGAAAATTCTTGGATTCTACGAAAGTAAAGTCACACACATCGATTTTAATGCTTTTGATAATTTGAATAAATTAACTTATCTTTGGGTCTATGCTATTCCATGCATCAATAAGGATATTTATGATTCAAGAATAGACGTTGAGGAAGCGATTGGCATCATGAAAGTTAAATGTGTGAAGTCATCTAATTAATTTGAGAATTTGAATAAAAATTTGATTTTTAAAAATTAAAAAAATTGAAGTTATGATCGTTCATAAGTGACGTCAATTGAATATGTAAATAAAGTTTTAATCACATGTCATTTGAGAGGGTTTAGCTAGATCTTCTTTAACAAGAAAAATTCTTAAATTTCCGATAAAAATTTCAATCTCACTTCCTTTTGTTCCAAATTTCAATTTTAAATCATTGGATGTTATGCTCAATTGACCTTTGTATTGAGATTATTTTGAATTTAAGAGAGGAATAAGAATTTGAAGAGAAACAAGAATAACGAGAAATAGGATTAGAATGAGTAGTTATTTCTAACGTAACAAGTTTAATAAGAATGCGAATAGCACGCGATTAGTAAACAAAGTACAAATACAATAAAAATTAAAAACTGTCGGAAGGAAAACTTGGGCAAGGCACTTCAACTTGTCATTAAAACCTAATTTATCCCTGTTGTCAGCCATTGAAGCAAGAGTTAATCTAATTTGCAATCAGAGAATTTAAAAAAAAAAACCTCAACGATTTTAAAATTATTTCCAAGCTACTCTCCCCAATAGAACAAATCGGTTAATTCAACAGCAAAGACTCAAATCGAATGCCAGAGTTGCGCCAGCTTGGAACCGTATTTCCATTCATTTAGTCAACTTATGCTATTCGGGTTTCCTTATAACATGACGATAAGGGACCGTTCACTTATGACGTCCAGGGAAGGAGGGTCAGAAAGAAAAGAACATTAGAAATTCCTGTAAGGGATCGTTCACTTATAACCCCCACCCCCATTTTTGAAAAATGACCGTTAATTTCAAACGTCATAAGTGAACGACCCCTAAGCAGTACTTAATTAAACCATTGAGCAACAAAATTCATCCATTGAATCTTTTTCGAAAATAAATGATAATCACCTGATCTCTAATACTTATCACAACATTAACAACAGCAACAATACAAAATGAAACAATCAAAGCATATAAGACATCCATTGACCAAGCTGATTATCGAAAAATCTTCCAAAAGATACAACAATAAAGAAGGAAAATATTCCCATGTCTCGCATCGATACCACAACACAATAATCAACGTAGTAAAAACATTTCAATTTCAATTCGAGGCTGAAAGCGAGACATTAGCGTTAACGTAACAATTTTCGTCAATGAAATTTAGTTGCTATATTGAGTGAAAAATGTCTTGAAGCATTAAAAAGTATCATGAAGATGATGACGATGAAGTAAAAGTGAATTATTGACGACTGTGAAAGAAGCAAAAGTTCATTCACAAAAAACTACAAAAAGACAAGAAGATAAGATTAATTTGACATAATGCTCGGGACATAAAATGAAAATGAGAAAGAGAATGTGATGACTAAAGGTGAACAGCCATGAACTTGTATATTGCGAGCTTGACTGTTCATTTATTTTGATTTCTTCTTTCTCTCGAACTTGCTTCTGTTGCTATCATTGACAGTGAATATTGTGAGCTATGTGTTGACTTGAAATTATTTCTCGGTAGAAAATGCGGAATTGCAATGGAATGTTGTCTTAACTTTAATTTGAAAATTGGGCTTTCCATCAAGGTTATCAGATTTTATTCAAGTTCATCGCTTGGGTCAGAGACAATGACTTTCGAATTTGAGGTTAGGTCAGCTGTGTTAACAAGACGGTTTAATGTCAAATGGTTTTGAAAGTTTGTTGGTATTTTGCAAGGCGTGGAAACTATCCCAAATATCCCATTTATCCCATATATCCCAAAAATATTCAAAATAATCCCTGAGCCTGTATGCATTAGAATTGAGATATCCCATCATATCCTGGAATTACACGTCCAATACACTAAGGATACGTTGGGATATCTTTATTATCGTGCATACATGTTCAGGAATTTTTTGAATATTTTTGGGATATGTGGGAAAAATATGATATTTGGGATAGTTTCCATGCCTTGTATTTTGAGTTGAAATTTGAAAAGTAAGAGCTGAATATGTCGAATCTAGCTACTCAATGTTTACTTCCTCAATTTTCATTCATCACTAACTGAAATTCTCAAAATTGATTAATTGGCACATAAATCATTGACATAACCTACAGGATTGTAAATAACAAACTTTTTTGCTCAATATTCTCATTCATCGCGTGCTGTTGAAAATTCACTCAATCGGAATGCATCGAAATTTATGGGATATTTCTGCTCTGCATATCCTTAAAGTAATTCAGATAAAAATGGAAATTGGAATCGAAAAAAATATCTTGTTATTCAAAATCTGTAAAGCTTGAGGTCAAGGTCATTGTATAAATTGCTTCCAAGTTTCAATGCTAAAGACAATAACGAAAGGAACTGAATAAATTAAGCTGAAGACCTTCAAATTTTCACCAAATTTTAATAAAAGGGTGTGATAATTTGGGGTTGACAAAATTTGCATATTTTTATGTATTGATCGGTTAGTCTCTGTTTCCGGTTGTTTGGCTGCTTGTTTAATTTAGCATCTGTTTATGATGATATACATTAATTATGCAATGAGGTTGTTTACTCTTAAAATTTCTAATTTCATTCATTAATTTATAATGGAACTGAATGGAATATTCACTGACCATAAACTGCTTATCAATGTAAGGTTTGTCATGGAAAAAAATGATTTGTTTATTTTTGAAATAAGTAGATACAAGTTGATATTTTTATAGGAAAATAGCTAAGGGGTTCGTTCACATGTGATGTCCATCCTTGTGTTGATCAGAAATCTTGATTTTCTGTACTTTCTCAAACTTGTTTGAGGATTGAACTTTAAAGGATGACAACGGGGCGTAGGGGGGGCCATAGAGGGCCCGGGCCCCCCCTACGAAAATCTGATAATTGTTTTATTAAGTATTTATAGAGAAGAACCAGTTAATGTAGAGGAAGTAATGAAAGAAATGTCAAAATCAGCACGAAAAATTAAATTTAATGTATGAATAATGAATTATATATTTAAACTTATGAAGAATGAATATAGATTTAAGGATATAAAATAACGGTTTTTTAATTTTCGAAAATGGGCCCCCCTTTAAAAATTTTCTGGCTACGCCCCTGGATGACAATAACTTAGATATTTTCTTCTGCAGGAGCAGAGTCAGGGCTGTGAAAGAAGGGTTTTGGGGTTGAAGCTCCTACAGCATTGAGAAAATTACTTCAATTTGCATTGCCTTTTTGAGAAAATATATCCCAAAATTGAATAACCCCCAAAGGATGAAATGTTTTGAGCATGATTATTCAGAGAATTATTATATTTTTATTCGGGAGCTTGTCTGGGTCGATGGAAGTTATGCGAAAGGCTTTTATTACATTACTGATTTATTTATAGACTGTAAATAGGCAGCACAATGCCTACATATTTTAATAGGAATAATTCTGTCAATACTCAAACAAAATCATGATTTTCTTATCAATATTTATATAAAACTAAATGCATCGCCCACTCACAAAGCTTCCATAAATCCATAAACTTTAAAAAAGAAATCGCCAAAATAAATCATTCAGCACTTAAACATTAGAAAATTGATTGCTCCTTCAATAGATTTATAAAAAATTTATATTAAAATAAGAAGATGAAAACCTTTTGTTCCTACAATATGAGATCCTGCATAATCTGATTACTAAAGCTTAAAATCAAATATTTAAAAATGTCAAAGTCAATGTAAAACAACTGTTGCCAGAAGATAGGATTAAGTTATAAGTAAAATAGAAACTTTTTCTTAAGGAGAGAGCAATACTTTCTATGACTTCAGTACTTGAAGCTATCACAAGTACGAACATAATATTTAAAAAGGAAGTGTAAGATGTATTTCAGCTCTTGACAAGGATTTTTTATGTCATGCAATAATAATCATTAGCTTTTCTTTACTGCTATGGTTCACTAGAGACGTCTCAAGCCTATTATTGATCCATATTATTATTATGAAATCAATATTCAATTCAATCTTGATGCCAGTCGAGATTCTATAATCACATTGAGCTCTTTTGGGATTTTGGCATGAGTTGAAGGATAAATCATGAGTAGCTTTACAAATATTTACATTGATAGAATTTTATGGATATATTTGGGGTCGTTTATGAATGATGTCAACTTAGAATTTCATTTATTGAAGTGGGAACTCTGTTAAAAGATCTCAAGAAAAGTTTGAAGAAGAAAATTTTGGCTCCATCCATAGCTTTATCCATAAGAGTAAGCAATTTAAAAACAAAAATATTTCACAATTGAATTTTAAAGTTTTTTCAAACCTTTTAATCCAAACAATAATGCCAATTTAAATTTCCTTTAAACTTACAAAAGTTTCTCATGTGAATCTACAAAAAAACTTTCCTTACGTGACACTTGACTTTAACAAAGAATAATATTTTGAGTCCATAAACTAATATTTTTACAGTCTCAGATCATTGACCCTTAACAAAATGCTTCAATTTAGTTTCGAGAATAAAACTTTTTCTTCTGATTTAATTTTGTTGTGATTTTCTTTTTGTTTGGGCACAGACGAGATCATTATTTTGTGCTGTACATCCCTCCAACCTACTTCAATCATCAGATCTGATGATGAATTATGCTTTAATAATAATGTTGTTTAGTCGAAAAATGAGCAGGAGATAAAAATCAATAAATGGATGGGAAGAAAAAGAGTATGGAACATAAATCTTATTGAAATTTTTTGAATTATTGCTTCTAGAGGTAAGTTATGATGTTCTAAAGCAGATGAACAAGTAAGCTATTTAAAATGTCAAAATCAATTCCTACTCAAATGATCAATTTATAAGCCACGGCTCATTTGAGCGGAATTTTAATAGGGAGTGGATGGATGTTATATATGTTTTGGGGAAATTTTTGATAAATTAAGAATTTCGTGCCGAAAAATTCGGGACTATTCAATGATTATGTTGAGGGGGCGAGGGTTGTTACTATTTTCAGGCTTGAAATAATTCTGCCGTCTATTCTTTATTTATATTTTGCTTTAATGATCTTACTTGATTATATTGCGTACTCCGGTGTAGCATTTTTATGAAGTTATAGCAACTTAGTAGTATGTTATGGAGAACAGTTTGGGAAACATTGACTTTTAGGAACTTAATCTAATATTTTGAAAAACTGCTCATTTCTGTGACTTTATGCCACTCTTAGCAATTACATGATAACGTGGATGATCTTACTATTCCTTTTGTATCGTCTTCATATCTCTTATGACCCGTGTTATCACTCCAAGCTCTTCTTTATAACGTCATTACCCTCTCTTTTAAATTACTACCAATTCTATGATCACAAAATTCAATGAACGACTCCCAACAAATCATGTAGTGCTGATACAAAGTTGCCTCTGACCAGATTTTGCCTTTGATTTAGCAAAGTTATACCTTTGCAAAGGCGCAATAAAGGCAAAGGTAAAAGAAATTGTCTTTGACAAAAGCAAAGGCTTGTGTCTTGACTTCAGATTGCCTACGCTTATGTCCACCTTTTTAAAGTCTAGTGCTTAGGTATCAACACTGAGATCATGTGACATTTTCAAAATAATAGAAAATCTCCCGAAAAGCACAAGTCGGTTAATCGAATAAAAATCCAGAACCAAGCAAGCGTGACTTTAGATTGCTGTGAATCCAGTACCATGCCAGAATCATGCTGGCTTGGTTCCAGATTTCTTTTCAATTAACCAACTTGTGCTTTTCGGGTTTCAGATAGATCAGCATCCCGCATCAGCAGAAATCACTGACACTAAATAAACACCTTCCCTCATGATCCATATTACATAATTAAAAACTTTCAATAGTCTGACTACAAAACACTCAACTAAAATGAATTTATCATTAAAAATTAAGTAAGTTGTTACTCAATAAAATGAAAAGCGATAGCATTAATTAACAATTATGCTCTAAATTGCCTGCAAAACCCACGAGAAAAAAGATATATCATCTCTTTTATAATTCTGACACTTTCAATTTTGCTCCCCTCAAAACGTTAATTTGTTATGATTTATGAGTAAGGCGAGACGTTAATTCACAGCAGTAGAAAAATTCAAAACAACAAAAAAAAAGTTTTATTGAAATGATTATAAAGAATCATTGGATAGGTTTCAAAGACAAGAGTGAGAAAAAAATTAAAAATAATCGAATGATTAATTATTTTTTGCTCATTATTGTAAATAAAACCTTTCAGACTTTAATTTGAAAAATGAAATTAAATTTTCAACAATAAAATTTGTTATTTTTTTAATAATTTTACTATTGCTAAAAAAATTGAAATTCATAATGGAAAATTGAAAATTGAAATTGAGATTAAAAGCTTTGTAAATTATACAAATTATGCGTTAATTAATTTTCTTTTTTCATGCAGCTTTTATTTGTTCAATATTGTTTTATTATTAGGCTATTGACTCGTGTTGGGAGGAGGGTGGGAAAATTTAAATTTTAAACATAAAGTTTATTGTTATCAAAAACTCTATTTTTTGCTGCAGAGGACATTAGGTGTAGCTATGAGCAGGTTCTCTGTGTTTGGTTTGTTTTTATAAACCAGTGTTGTCCAAACTGTATGCCGTGACTCACTAGCGTAACGTAGAAATTTTTCGAAATAACACGAGCCGCTCCCTAAGTGCGACTCAGGCCATGGTTTACCCTTAAGATGTGCCGTGAATCAAAAAGTTTGGACAATACTGACATAAACCTAAACTTATCCCTATCGTTACTGTTGACACAATAAGTTCTTAAAGGTACGTGGAAGTTTAGAGGTAAGAGTGGATGCAGAGGATGGTGTTCATCTACTCTTTCCTTTACTATTATTTCTACACCTTCTCCTACTTCTACATCTCTCTGCATCCCTGAAGATTTGTTTAAGGTATCAACTAGCTTACAGATCAATTGTGATCCATGACCTCCCTTAGTCGCCCCTTAAAACTAGCTCTTTCGCTATTAAGGCATCAATGAAACATAAATTCAAAGATAAATAGCTTTCAAACTTTTAAAAAATGATATTTCATCCTCCTTATCCACCCCATACCCAATTCTATTTTTTAAAAAAACCAACAACTTACCTCTCCACGTGGAAAAATTATCTACACTTTTTAATTCATTAATTTAACACAAGCCAACTTTGTATAATATTTTTTCTGAAAAGTGGGTATTATTGCTTGTAGGCAAATGTCTGACAAGAAAAAAATTTGCACGAGCTGTGGAAAAAATAACTTGAGGGCAATCACACGAACTTTATAGTAATACTGTTGTTATCAATTGTTGGAACCGTCTGTTTTGTGATAAGACTGGCTATTAAATCTCAAGTGTTTTTGTGTTTAAAATTTTTCCATTATTTTGATAGATGCTATGCTGATGTAATTTGGAGGGAATTAATTATTTATTGAATGCTTACGGAATTTATGAAAATATGCTTTATGTTGGCTTTTTTTGTATTTTTTAAGCAATTTTGAATGAAGCTATCTTAAGTAAGTTTTCTGTTGAAAATGATTTACACGAAATATAAAATCAGTGCTGATCTGAGGAGCTAGTTTTGCATTATTTTGATGAGTATTTATTTGCTATGTACGAGCTCAGACTCAGGTATCTAAATTAAGTCTTCTACAATAATAATAATAATGGCAATAATGTGAGAGGTTCCAGCCAAGCAATGTGAAGAGGCACTGCTATCCTGATCAATGATTGAATTTATTATACCATAATCCATAACCATGCATATGATGCCAAATTTTAAAGCAGCTTCTTCATCACATTAACTTCTCTGAACTTAGAAGTCATTAAGATTGTGAATATAAGTCAAAGCAAGTCAAAGCTCTTAATTTTGAATTAGAAACTATATTTAGTACTGGTATAAATGCTATGAGAGCCAATAAAGCCCGTCTTTGACGAACTAAGGCTGAGGTACTAAGCTCTAGTGCCGTTGACTTAACAAGTAAGTAGGCAACTTTAAAACCTCAACCATGATTTTTAATTCTGAATCCCAATTCTTTACTAAACTGGTTCCCGTTGACAGATTCCTAGTAATTCATAGTTAAACACAATCCTTTTGCTTTAACTGATTGTACCTCTGATTGTTCCCAACCAACATCAAGAGCACCAACAAAAAATTTCTTGATAACAACCCGACAGTTTTCAGAGCCACGATCGGATTCTTACAATTTTAGTATAAAAGGAATGAAGAATTGCTTCAGGTCTCAGTTCAGTCGTTGTAATTAACAAAAGTGTAGAAATGGAAGTAAAAGTTTTTGTTTTAATCTTGTACGGCCTGTTTCACTAAAGTGGATTTTCTTCGATTTCGGATTATCCTTTTCAGTTTTTTGCAAATATCTTAAACTATATGGGAGGTGTGGTATTTCTAATTTTGGATTATAATAGAGTGAACTATGCCTGAAATTTCTGTACACTTTAAACGTTTGCTTTTCATTAAGAAGTATTAATTATTCAATTTTCTAGCCAAATCTAGTAGATTAACTTCGATTTTTGCTATAATTCTCAAACTAATGAAGATATAAAAATTCTAAGTATATATTAATTTAAGTAGCAAAGTACTCTAACTAGATCACACATTAGATCTCTTAAAAGTCTTAATTGTCTGGAGATATTTCCAAAAAACTGAAGTGGATAATTCGAAATCGAGGATAATCCACTTTAGTGAAACAGGCCGATTATTCTTTAAATCATCGAAAGTACAAGCACTTGATTGTGTCTATAGTGACGTCACAATTGGAGTTACAAATTATTATGCATGCAATTTGAACATCTACAATCCGCTTGGATTTGATAATTTTACAACAGTCGGTGGGGAGCATTTGGAAGGAAGAACAGATGAAGACGTGACTGCAATATTAGGAAGACCAACGTCTAAAACCTTAAATATTCCACGAATTCTGTGTAATGTTTTTTCGAATGCTGTTTATTTGGATTACTCGTGGCTTGAAATTTTGGCTATTGGAGAGTCTGAGCTGAGAAGCTGTGAAGGCTTAGAATTGATCTTACTTCGAGGAAACAAAATAGCAGAAGTTCATGTGAATGCTTTTTCTAATAATTTAAGGTTAATAAGTATCAATTTTGATTATAATAACCTACAAACATTACCGGAAGGATTATTCAGCAGCTTGGTAAATTTACATACTATTGAACTGTCCAATAATCCATTTATATTAATTCCTGGTGGATTATTCAATGGTCTTATCAACTTGAGAAGACTTCATATGGAATCAGCTAAAATTAGTGAATTAAATCCTCAATGGTTTATAACTTTAGTTGGCTTACATAGACTTCTAGTCAGCAACAATTTAATAACAGAACTTCCAGAAGACATTCTGTTTAACTTACCAGAACTTAGATTTTTTGATATCAGTGGCAATAGACTTTATGACAATATAGCACCAGGTGTTTTCAGATTTTCTACAAATTTGATGCATTTACGCTTGACTAACACCAGAATAACTAAGCTTAATCCACAATGGTTCGTAAATTTCAGGAATTTATCGACACTTTTTATCAATTCTAATGAAATTGCATCGATTCCTGAAAATGTTTTTGAGAACTCGAATCTGACAACATTGTGGACTTTTGAATTAGGAAATAATCAATTGACTGAATCAACAATACCTGAAAATCTATTTAGTGGATTTCCAAATCTCTTAAATCTAAGAATGAATGGTAATTCCATTCAAAGACTCAACCCAAAATGGTTTGAAAGAATGTCACGTCTTCAAGTTTTAGATGTAAGCTACAACAGAATTGATGAGCTTCCTGCTGAAATATTTACAGCAATTGAAGGAATCACTGAGATTAATTTTGAGAGAAATCAGTTAAAGACTCTTGATCGAAACTCATTTGGAAAATTAGCTAATCTAATAACATTGAATCTTGACAGAAACTCAATTAATGCAATTGATGAGCAAATCTTTGAAAATGCAACATCACTGAATATCCTTTATTTGTGGAACAATAAGTGCTTGAATGAGCGGTTCTTCAATTTTGCTGCAAATCGTGCATTGTTCTTGAGTAGACTTAGAACTTGTATGAATAACTTTAGATTTACTGTTGGTAAGTAGAGCAGTGTTCATTGGTCTGTGACTCTCAACTTTCTCGTTTTAAGTCCGATTGGTTCTAGCTGGAATGTTGTTGATCACCAACAGGAACTAATCAGATGAAACTTGGTAGTGGGAACCACTAGCTAAGAGGATCAAGTTCAATTCTTAGGAAAATTTCTGATTTTTTACTTTCACTGTCCGACATCATTTCAACGATTGAGGTTCTAGAGTCTAGACCTACAACATCAACCTAAATAGACCTTGTTAACTAAAAGTATTTATTTTTCAGACGCTTCAACATCAGTTGGAAATGATTATACCTTCTTCTCAGCCCCAAGTCCTGGAATCCAATTTAGAGTGAATTCCAGACATGTAATTCACATCGCTTTAACTCCATTTAATTTTACATGGTCTCCAATGGTTGAAATAGTCATCGGATGCTGCAACAATCAAAGAACAATAATTGTCAGGAATAATTCTACAGATGTTGCTATTGTTCCATCGCCTGGCATATTGAATTTCGATACATGGACTGGATTTCGAATAACATGGGCTAATCATGTCTTATTAGTATTTAAAGAAGGTCAATCATTCCCATATATAGCATATACGATGGAAGATTTTTTCCATATAAATTTCTATGGAATAAGATCAGTGTAAGTGGGTTATTTACTAGTTTAAAATGTAGATCAACTAATATAACTTATTTAATAGTTTAACGGATGCAAATTGGAGTATTCAACCAGTTGAAGCTGATGGGTCGCTAGCTGATGCGCAAGAAGTTTTATCAAGCGATGACTTAACAGCTACAGAAGATGATTGTGTATGAAATAATAGAAAATATGCAATTTCTCTTTCTATTAAGTAACATGATAATAAATTTTACACCAATTTTATTCACACAAATTAAAATGAGATTTTTAATTGCTGTTTTTATTGATTGCATTTTAATAAAAAAAAGGCATAAAGTTTTTTGCCGGTCATAAAAAAATTCGAACATGCTTTTTTTGCACAAAGAGAAAGATCTGTAAAAGTTGTTGGTTTGCTTTGAAGAGATTTTTTTTATGACAAACAGCGTGATAGCTTTTGATAATCAATTTGGTGCCTGTTTTATGTTAGGTAAATGAATTGGTGTCCGGTTTCACAGATGTGATCTAGGTTTGATGTAATCTGTTTTAGGTTTTTTTTTTGTTTAAAAGTTCATTTATTTATATCAAACTTAAAGTTGTGTTATAAATTTATACAAATTAATTATTGCAGAGAGAGAAGAAAAAAAAAATTACTTCATATTCAATTTAATTTAATTAGCATCAAAATACAATTCCAAATAGTGCTCTCTCAAACGATTTTTAATAATGCTCAATGAATGAAAAGCCTTTATCTGCTGTGGAAATCCGCAAATGCTCTAATGTAAAAATTCTGCGCTCCTTGACTAGTGCGACACATTCTTATTGTGAAATCGATTTCTTGTCGAATGATTATGAATATCGCTACCTAATTGTATTTCGACATTATTTTTAATAATGTTTTAGTCACTCGACTCTATACTAAGGTAAACTAGACTTTGATTATGTAGATTCAGAAAAATATCTTCTATTTTTGTAGGACTTTAGAGAAAATAAGTATTTAAAAGCTTTTCAACTGTTCTAGCCATACAACTAGGTTTGTATGATTGGAGATATAATGTAATGTTCTGAGCATTGTGTTAATCTTTGTCATATCAACAACACTCGATATAATGGATTGAAAGATCAGTCTCTGGTGAGAATCGAACCCACGTCCGCATAAAAGAAGGTTATAGATATCCGGTCTAATGTTTAACCTTTTGCGCTGTAGAGGCTTAACGCTCACACTGACAGATTAGCTTATATATGACTCGATTTCCGAGATTCTACTGAACTTAGACTTCATGCATACTTTGGTCACGTATATCTTGAACTTATATGTAATCCTATCAATTATTGCATACTTGCAATGTCTTATAAGATCTGACCTACAGTAGCGCTCAAAATGATAAGGACAGCAAAATTTTTTTCAAATTTTTATTAATTTTGACCCACAGGATTATCTAAATTTGCTGAAATTTGGACCAGTTATACAGTTTTAAATGTCCTTTCATACAATATATACTAATTGTACTTTAATTAAATATTTTTGAAAAAAACGGTAAAAAATCAAAATGGCTGCCGCTCAAAATGATAAGGACAGTAGATTATGTTAAGATTTTATTATATTAAGTAATATTATGGAACTTTTAAGTTTTAAAACATTATGTTTGATGAATATTCTTTAAATAAATTTATAATTCACGCTTCTAGATGTAAGACTTCTTACTTAATTTTAGTGTTTAAAAATATGTGAAAATTTTGTCAATTTATGATAAATTGTCGTACAGAAACTTGTTTAATCTTTAGGTTAACTACCAAAAATTATAGATAATTTGATTATTTATCAATTTATGATCAAACATTTAGATAACTGTTAATTAATGTAAATTTTTTTCAAAAATTTTATTTTTCCTTTGCGAAATTTTTGTGAACTTAAGTCGACAATTTGAAAAAAAATTGTTAAATATTCGCAAAACAATGCTTAAATTAGTATATTTCTCTTCCATTTTAATTGTTTAATAACAGATATCAAGCACTTGAACCGCTTCGAAAGGATAAGTGACTAAGCAATCGTTCTCTTTAAACAACAAGACTTTTTGATATGGCAAAAATGAAAAATGTGTTGGAACCTAAAAAAATATGATTTACATAAGTGAAGTTTTAACATAAAATAATTAAATTTGGCTTTTTTAATCGAATAACACTCTATTTTGTATTCTATGAGTGCTAAATTTAACATTTTTATAAAAAAATATTTCTTCATATTTTTTCGTCTTGAGAAACTCATAGAGAACGATTGCTTAGTCACTTATCCTTTCGAAGCGGTTCAAGTGCTTGCTATATGTTATTAAACAATTAAAATGGAAGAGAAATATACTGATTTAAGCATTGTTTTGCGAATATTTAACAATTTTTTTTCAAATTGTCGACTTAAGTTCACAAAAATTTCGCAAAGGAAAAATAAAATTTTTGAAAAAAATTTACATTAATTAACAGTTATCTAAATGTTTGATCATAAATTGATAAATAATCAAATTATCTATAATTTTTGGTAGTTAACCTAAAGAATAAACAAGTTTCTGTACGACAATTTATCATAAATTGACAAAATTTTCACATATTTTTAAACACTAAAATTAAGTAAGAAGTCTTACATCTAGAAGCGTGAATTATAAATTTATTTAAAGAATATTCATCAAACATAATGTTTTAAAACTTAAAAGTTCCATAATATTACTTAATATAATAAAATCTTAACATAATCTACTGTCCTTATCATTTTGAGCGGCAGCCATTTTGATTTTTTACCGTTTTTTTCAAAAATATTTAATTAAAGTACAATTAGTATATATTGTATGAAAGGACATTTAAAACTGTATAACTGGTCCAAATTTCAGCAAATTTAGATAATCCTGTGGGTCAAAATTAATAAAAATTTGAAAAAAATGTTGCTGTCCTTATCATTTTGAGCGCTACTGTATATCCATATCAAATCAAGTTATCAATTTTATTCATCCTTATCTTTAAAAGCTTCTCCAAGATTGTTAAGGTCTACAAAATACAAATTTCAATCGACCGTTAATCATATCTTAACCCCTTATCAATAACTCACTCATTTCTATCAAATACGTGTTAAAATGTTAGCAACTCATTATCAAGATGTCTAACAATCTCTAGACTTTACATTCGCAACATGCGAAGATCAGCAATTAAATAATTGATAAAAACTCCGACACCTTAAAGAGCACATCGTGAATAATTCTTTAAGTATAAAAGGGATTGAAAATTGTGTCAATAATCAGTTCAATTTCAAGCATCAACTAAAACTTTAGTAAAAAATGGAAATTAAAGGTCTAATTATCGTTTTATTGTCCATTGGATCAACTTTTGGACAATCAATTGATTGTACATTTGGAGAGATAACAGTTGGATCTGGTCTTTTATACGCTTGCCATTTAAATATTTTCAATCCACTCGGATTCGATAACTTTACAGCAATTAGTGGTGTTCATTTGGCAGGAAGAACTAATGCAGATGTTACGGCTGTAGTGAAAGCTCCATTGTCGAGAACCTTAACAATTCCAAGAATCATCTGCTCAGTATTTCCAAATGTTGTCTATGTGGATTATTCAGAAATGCACTTGGTGTCTATTGGAGAACAAGACTTGAGAAGCTGCAGAGGATTAGAGTTTGCCTTATTCAATAACAACCACATTGTTCAGGTTCATCAAAATGCATTTGTGAATAACTTAAGACTTGTTAACATTGATTTTAACAACAACACCCTCATTGAACTGCCAGAAGGAGTTTTCAGCACATTAGCAGGTCTTTACTTTTTGGTACTGTCCAACAATCCATTAACAAGAATTTCTGCTGGAGCATTCAATGGTGCAATAACTTTAAGACGGTTATACATGGTTTCAAATGGAATAGAAGCAATCAATCCTGAATGGTTCCGTCCTTTAGGTGACATCCGAAGACTAACAATGAGCAATAACTCAATATCTGAACTCCCTGAAGATGTCTTCAGACATTTACCAGAGCTTAGAATTCTTGAATTGGGCGATAATCCATTAGGCAGTAACATTCCATCCAGAGTATTCAGCTTCACACCTAGACTTGTTGAAATGAGACTGTCCAATGCTGCAATCACTACACTTGACCCAGAATGGTTCATTAGTTCTTCAAACTTCTCAGTCATTGATTTTAGTGGCAACTCAATTAGATCAATTTCTGCAAACATTTTTGAAAATGCCAATTTGACAACATTGCAAACATTTGACATTGGACACAACTTATTGTCTGAATCAACCATTCCTGCAACTTTGTTTGACGGATTCCCAAACCTTGTATATTTGGGGCTTAATGGCAATTCAATTCGCGTTGTCAATCCAAGATGGTTTGAAAGACTTTCTCAGCTTAGAATCCTCAATCTTAAGGCCAATATCATGTATCAAATCCAAAGTGAAGTCTTCGTATCATTGCCATCAGTCATTGATTTGAATTTAGGGCTGAACAGAATCAGCGTTGTTAACAGGAATGCATTTGGAAGCTTGGAAAATCTTAGATATGTCAATTTTGCAGATAATTGGGTTAATGCTGTCGATGCTGAATTCTTTAATGATGCAACATCTTTGGATGTTATTAATCTTCGTGACAACAACTGCACAAATGAAAAATTCGAAAAATTCGGTGATAATCGTGAGCAGTTCATGACAAGCTTAGTGCATTGTACACGAAACTTCCGATATACATTTGGTAAGTATTTCAGAACTTTAACAGTCCAAAAATAATGAAGATTTTCTCAAATCCTTACAGACACCAACACAGCTGCTGGTGGAGATCATTCAATCTTCACTGCACCACGCTTTGGAATGCACATTCGAACTAATGCAAGACAAGAGATTAGAATTGCTTTGCTATCATCAAATGAAATTCGTGAACCAATTGTAGAAATCATCATTGGATATAGCAACAACACAAGATCAAGAATCGCTAGAAATGGAAATGTTGTAGTCAGCATGCAAACTCCTGCAGTATTGAACCAAACTGGAACAAATATATTTAGAGTCACATGGGCAAATAATGTCATCTCAGTCAGTAGAGATACTCAACCGTTTCCATTCATATCATTTACAGCCGAAGGTGTTTTCACTCCTAGTTTTTACGGAATTAGATCAATGTATGTAGATAGCTTGATATTGATATTAAATTTATTTTAATTCCTTTATTTATATTATAGCCTTAGTGATGTTAATTGGAGCATCCGTCCAATTAGTGCTGGAGGATTTTGAGCAATTCTTAACATTCGTTTAGTTTTGATGACACAGAAGGAAGTAACAAAATGAAGCTTATTGTCATTAAATATATAAATTTACACCAGTTTAAATCCCACAGAAATGAAATTAAATATCTAAATTGCTATTTTTATTGATTGCAATTTTAATAAAGCATAAAAAGCTAAAACACAATTTTGAGTCTTTTATAAGTGACGTCTAGCATTTTTTCAGGTGGAATGGGTTCCGAGTTTAATCTTGAATATCAAATCTTTTATAGATGAATTTGCCAGTACGAGAACGAGGCCTCTGTGGTCAAGAACAATAGATTAGAAGCAATAATATTTTTAAAAAGGTGTGGGTTTGATTCCCACCAGTTGCTAATGTTCCAATAATGTCGATAATAAGAGAATTCACATAATTACAACCTCCCTTCCCATTACTATCACTTTCAGTTCCTTTCTAAAAATATTATGCCAAACCACAACATACAACATACATCATTTATCAACGACCCCCCTTTGAAAAAATAAAATAAAAATATTTGAAAGTCAGCAACAGTGATTCATTTTGAACTTGACACTGTCGCTCATTTCAATTCATACAAATTATATTTCGCATTTATTTTTTCTTTCTTTCTCTTTGGTGCTGTAAAAATTTCACCAAACACCAGCTATCACATATGATCTCATATTTCGGAATATATTTATTGTCTTTTGATGTATCCGTATTCGTAATTTCTTTCTTTCTCGCTGCTTCTTCTTCTTCACGACTTTTGTCTGCTGTTATTAATTAATAAGCACCATGCAGATCACCACTACTGTTACCATACACAAATTACAGCATGTGAAGGTATTTTTGAGAGTGAAATTTTTTTGGGTCTTTTTCTTTAATTTTATTTTTTAACAGAAAAAGTTTATGATTTTTATGGCTTTTTTTAAAAGCTATGTTTGAATTTAGTTGGGTATGTGATCATACATTTTAGTCAAGGTCGCGAAAGTTCCAGATCATTTAAGAATAACAGTTTGCTGATTGGTCAATTTAAAACCATAAGTTTTTTCTAAGAACTATTTAAGCTTATCTAGTTCTAAATGACATCGAGGTTATGAGGGTCTTCATCCTAATGGCTGCTGTAAGTTATGTACTTGACTTGATCTCTTAATGAATTTTAATTTGAATATTAAGTAAAAAAAGTACGATCTCCAAAAACGTGTTCATACAGTTCAAGATAACAAGATAGTTTGGCAGATTGTCATTTTAATCTCCTAATCCAAAGTGTAATTGACTTTTTTGAATTGAAAACCCACCAACATCTAGCCAAAGACTACCTTCAACAAAAAAATTCTGAAATTAATGCATCAAGTTATATCTTAGGTCTATGATGAGATTCAACTATAAGGTTCACCCAAAAAATGTCTAAAATCAAATCTTTATTAAAATCTCAAGCACAGCAGCGCAAAAAGTCACATAAACAAAATTAATTGTTAATTGCAAGGTTAGATTGCGATTACAATTGACACACAGACCCAAATCACGTAGAAATTTGACAAAAAGATAAGTCTCGTAGGATTAATTCAGCAGGTTGATAGGCCAGTGTTAAACGTGTTCTATAAAGTATTTTTATACGTGACAAGATATGAGAAAAATCGTGAATTTTACAGGTAATGATGTGTCTACTGATAAGACTTGCTTTTTTTCTAAAACATTAAAATATCGTCAGTTTAATTAAAGCTTTGGTGGAGGCAACAGTCGGTCTAAGCCTCCAAAAAAAAAATCAAGCGTTTCACTTAACAATTATAGTCATTAATCTTTCATTTCGTTAAATACACACACAGAACATCGAGATCAAATAAAATGCGCGCGAGTCTTTTGTGCTGTGTGCACAAGGTCGTTTGTGGTCGTCGTATTGTAGAAAATGAAATGACAGAAAAGAAATTTTTGTTTTCTTCTTTAATTCCGGATTTGAACAGAAAGAGAGCTTTATGAGATGCTTGTATACCGAACACATTATCACCAATTCAATATCTTTATGATGTCTTTTGCTTATAAATATAAAATAACCGATGATGAAGAAGAAAAAAAAAATACGTAAAAAAGTATATATGAAGGAAGAAGCAGAAGAATTAACTGAAAAAAGAGAAAACTTTCGATTTTTAAAATTAAATGGCATCTCAGTAAAAGAGAAAAGTTAAATATTGGGCATCAATTTAATAATACAAAAAAAAATTCACGATCAATGATGATGTCCACAATATAATCATAAAAAATTGGTATGAAATTATTCGCAGATGGGAGGCTTCAAATTAATTTATTTTGCTGTGATGAAGTTGTAGTCTTCCTGTAAAGCAGGTGATTTTGCTTAAATGACAACTTGATCAGCTAGATTCTGTGATGTTGAGAAATTAGCTTCTGGTGGAAATCAAGTCCATGTTCTAATCTCGAGCGGTACAATTGTGTAGTGATTGCTACCCACAAGCTGTTCGCTCTTTTAAAAAAGCCGCATTAGTTTTGTGCCCCGTTCAATAAACACGAGTTGGTCTAAGCCAATTAATAAATTAATTAACAAGGTTTATCGTGTTATTTCTGAGTTACTTCAAATTGTAAAATGATTGGTCATTTACGGAACATTATTCTATTGTGCTGCTCAGGAACATCTGTACATAAAAAATTATCTTATATATAGCTTAATACTATACATTGCACTCTGCATAGTCACAACTATCTAAATTAGTCAATAAAGAGTTTGAGACTGCGATGTTTATGAATATTTCAAAATCCAACTTATTAGGTGAAAAACTCCTCAAAATCAGCACTGCAATAATAATGAAGACAGATTCTTGAGCCAGCAACATTTGTTTCTTAGGCTATGACATTTATTTTCGGTTCTAGAGAACCTAATGCACCTAGGCAGCTTAAGAACTAGGCCCTTGATCAACAAAAGAATCTATTAATACTGTACTAAATCTAAGCCATACTCTAATAAACCGTCCAATATCAAGGCTAGGCTAATAAGCAGATACAAACATCCATCTCAATTTTCACAATTTAACTGCATCTTTAAAGTAATACAAACATAACAAATAACTGAAATTGATATCTCCAAACGTAATGTAGGTTTACATTCAATTTCATCTCCATTCAAGATGTGTTACTATCTTCATTTTCAAGTCATTGTGTCGAAAAATTTGTGTTTGTGTACCTTTACATTTCTCACAATAAATATTTGACTATCACAGCTTTTCAAACTCAGATTTCTCATTGACAAGTGCTTTGTTTAGAGTCAATTATGATGATGATGATGATGTTTTGGCAGCTTTTGTTGGATTTCTAAGTTGAATTTTGTGGATATTGAGGTTTTGAGATGAGGGGTTAATTTCGATCCTTTCCTAAAAATCCTTAGCAATTAAATGCTAAGATGATGTTTGGTAGAAGCGACTAAATCTTTCAAGTTCTCCAAGCTTCTTTCCTGCGTCAACTGTCGTTTGATCTTCACAACAGCTTAAAAATCGTCAAAATTATGGATCGCTAGCCATAGAAGTAATTACAACTCCTTATTTAAATCCTGATAAAATATCTTCAGTACTAATGATGTTTAAATGAAACAATAAACTTCATATCTGAGATTCCATCATAAAACAATAACAATAACAACTCAGCTTTCATTGTCACTTACAGGAATGATTTATACATAATATATTTTCATCATAAGCAGTCTAGCGAGAATTTAGGATTACCAGTATCTATAATTAATATCTTTTCTCATCCATTGCACTGTCCCTTCCACCATGACATCTTAAAGACTTGAAGACTGTAAAGAAGCCATCATATCTAAACGAAATCATGACATAAAATGATGATGATATATGAGGGAAATGAATGCCATGAGATGATGATTTTGTTTGTAATGCTGAATGTAATTCTTCATGTTGGATGTAATTGAAAGTTTTATAAGCGTTGAAGGATGATAAATATGGAAGCAAAATATTATTTTCATGTAAGTTGGTATGTTGTTGTTGCTGTGCTGAGATGGATGTAATTTTATAGCGATAAACTGTGTAATTATCAAGCAGAAATGTCATAGCTTGACAGAAATACATTTTTTTCTGAGCAAATTTAGAAAATATTGTTCAAGCTGAAGCTTCAAGACAGAGTTGGGGATCGTAGTTGTTTTGAAAACCTTACGGCTCTTGTTTGCTGTTAATTGTTGAAGATCGAAGCAATGTTTTATTGACTAGGTTGTGCTGTTTGAACTAAGAATATTCTTAAGATGATAAATAATCTTCAGCTTTAATTTAAAAGTTGTCAATACACGGGATTAATTTTTAAGGGTCACCGGAAGTCAACACCTTCCTAGAATCTCAAATCGATGCATTTCACTTTTGGATATTAATACAATTGAACCGTGACTACAAAATGTTCGTTGTTGCCTTAAAAATCAACCACAGTATACCAACTCTAATTCTACAAATCTTAAAGCAGATATAAAATGAAAATGTCCATCAAAGTCTCTCAAATCCATTCTCATTCAATTCCTTCTCCCTTTTTCCTTCAGTAAAAAAAGTCCCATCATATTCTATCACAATCATCATTAAAACATCATAAACGATAGCACAAAAAAAACCTTAAAGAAATGAGGAGCTAGAAAAAAATTCTGTGATAATAATTATGATGATGTCTTTTTTATTGTCTTTGAATATTTTTTTTATCACAGTCATTTTTATCTTCGATGTTGGAGATAATGTTCATTGACAAAAAATAAAAGATGGAATCTCACAATGAAAAACTTAAAAATAAAATAAAAAATTCATTCATTAATGATCGCCTCCCTTGTCCATCCTTCTGCTTTGTTGTCTGGATGCTGGATGTTTGGAATCGAATGGATTGAATGTTGTTGTTGTTATTTTGTCTAGGTTTATCCTGTTTAGATTATTTGTATAGTGCTTCCTTAAGAGTTGTGGAGTTTGAAGGGAAATTTGTTAATGGCCTATCAGGGTCGTTTCCAACACGGTACGATAAATAAAGGGAGCTTCTGTTGTTGAGAAATCATATGTACTGGAAATGAAGCTCACAGCCCTCCTTTGTACGCTACAGGCAGTAATGTCATCAAAAGAGTGGTTCAGATCCCACTATAAATTGTAGGTCTAGGTTTGAGTGCAGTGGTTTGGCGCATCCTCACTCGTTAAACTTCCATTAGCTGCGAAACACCCTAGAGCACCTCTGGATCACTACTGATCTGAATAGTTAAAGGTTTTTTTTTTCTGTTGTTGAGAACAAGACCGAATACAGTCAGCAGCACAGCTTAAATCAGGAGAGTCTACCATCCAATTCCCGAACTCTACAAAACCAACCTAGAGATTCAAATGCGCTACTAAATCATCCCCAAAACTAATTTTTCCCATCTTTGTTGCAATTATTAAAATAACTGAAATGCTGGTCACAATGATGATAAAGAAAAAAGAAGGTTGAGACCGAAGGGATGTAAGGAACAAAAAAAGCTTTTAAAGAACAATAAAAAGTTTTTCATTCTTTAAATTTTTTTCTCTGCTTTTGCTTACAATTCTTTACTATAATTCTTAATTAAACCATCAAAGCAAAGCTTCATTCATATTCATTACGACAATACAATGAACTTGATTTCAATTCAATTCTGACGTCGTCTTGCTCATGCGGAAAATGAAACAAACAAAAAAATTATGAAAGAAAAATTTTATTTTTTTTTCTTCTCTTTCTTTCAATCCATTTCATAATTTATCCGATTTCCGTAAGCTAAGATGTAACACTGCAGTCTTTAATAATTTTTGTAATCTTAATTTTCTTTAAGTTTTTTGATAATTTTTTCTCATTGACTTAAAATGGTTGACTTGTGTGAAGTTTGAAGAATTTTGAGAGTTATTTGAAAATATTGGTTGAAGAGCGGTTTATGTTGTCTCAATTATTGGTTTCAGTCTGACTTTGAAGATAGCAAAATTGGGAGAAAAGAGGGGGGGAGGGGCGGTCTACTACGAGAAAGATCACATCTTTTAAGGACATGTGCTGCATTTCGGTAAAAGATTGATGACAGTGTGAGATCAATTTGATAAAAATCTGAAAATATAGAACGATGATGTGTAGAAATAGGTTTTTGAAGGGGGATGGGGGGGGGGGGGGGAGGGGGTCTAGAAAAATATTATTAATTCACAAGAAACAAATAAAAAAATAATAAACGACTTCAAATTTTTTTAAATTTTTTTATTATTAATCTCATCATAAACTTCATCTTACAAAATTGATGGTAACATAAAATTTTCAAAAATATTAATTTTCATAATTTTTTTCAAAAATTTTCATTCGAACATTTTCACAAAATATTTTTAAAGAATCGATATTAATCGTTTTTATGATGCTTTACATAACCTCTAAAGCATCTTTAAAAACCTTTTCAATTTACATAATTCCTTTTAAAATATTTTCTATACTTTCCAAATACAAAAATCAAGCAAATTTCAGATAAGTAATGCAGACAATATTTCTTTTTATGGCAACAAAAACAATGATATTTTTTTCCTGCTTCATTTCCACTTGATATTGTAATAATTTTTATGATGATTTAATTCAGTTATTTCATTTTCGGAACTGAGACAAAGAGACTCATTCGACGTACTTTGTTATACTAAATTAAGCGGATTATTATTGATAGAGTTATGTAATAATAAATAAAAGCAGCTTATTGACTATCAGCATTCAGCATTTAAAATATTTTACACTCACTTGAATAAAGAAATTTTTATGGAAATTCCTCGATTTTTTGGTTAGCGCATTTTTGCAAAACATTTTGAAATTTTTTTTTGACACTTTGGTTTTGGTAAATCTTTGAAGTTCTTGAGTTTTGGCAGTGAAACTTGATTGACATTAGCTTTTGCCACTTTTTTGCTGAAGATTAACTTTATTTCAAGTCAATTAAAGTTTTAGTTTACTTAAAAATTGCAAAAAACTCTTCGAAGTGGAGCAATTTTTTGAAAATTTTAAAAAATGCGCTTTATTCACCAAAAATCGATGACATATTCTCTATAAATTTTATTATCAAGCACCAGACGCACAACATACAAAAATTCACAATCACACAATTCGAGCACAACAGTTTGAAAACGTAAAAAAGGTGAAGAAAGTGCCATTATTCATTTTTTTAATCTCTACTGCTATCTCCTTCCTCTTTCACATCTACTGCCTATAATTTTATTTTATGATCCCAATATATAATGAAAATGGCACTTTCATCAGACCTAATAAATTTTTGATTTCATTTTAAAAACTTCCTATCAGTCGAAACTTTTTTGTTACATTTCAGTTTTTCTTGGCATCTGAAGTTTTATCGCCTAGCACTTGCTGACCTTCGCGACTTTTAAGGAATGTTTTGGCTTCTGTATGTTCGGACTCAGCATCTTCAGTTACTTGCGGCACTGTTTGAGCTGGCTTTTGCTCGATTGCTGTCAAAATTGATTGTAAAAGTCCATCGTCTAAGATTTGTTTATGATTGGTTCCATCAATTCGATTGTCATGTGATTGTGAACCTTGAATTTGAAGTTGGAAGTTAGCGACTGAACCTTGATTTTGTGGCACTTCAATTGAGTGAGATTTGATTGCTGAGATGAAATCTAATCCGGAACTGCTTAAACCGCTGTTAAGACCTGGAAGTTGAGCTCTAGGAGTGTCTCTTGATTCTGATGGCGTTAGTTCTGAAACGACTGCATTATTACGTGATTCAAGTCCAACAACTTCTAAATGTCCTGGTCCTGAGGCGGGAGGTCCGTAAGAGTTTGAAGGTGGTCCATAACTGTTTGATGGTGCATTAAAATTAATTGAATTGTGTTGCGGAACTTCTAAAGCTTGAGCTGGAACTTCATAACCCGCGCTTAAGACAGCTGAATGTGATTCACTGACTAATGGTGCCTGATAAGTTTGAGAATGTCCTCCCGATGGAGCTCCGTAAGTATTTTGCAATTGTGGTCCTTTACCACAGTCATGGATTACATGAACATGTCTTAAATCTTGATTCTGTAAAGAGAATGATGAACTAGATGTTGCCACACCGCCAGCTTGAGAGTGAGAGTTGTGAGAATTGTGAGAATTATGAGAATTATGAGAGTGATGTTGGAATTGTTGAACTGGTCCTGGACTTGGCACAATTAATCTCATTGGTGGAATTGGAACCTCATTTGTAGGTGGTGGCAAGTAAGTCTTTCCCCCAGAAAGTCCGTGTGAAGATCCACGGGCATCTTGTACTTGAACATTCTGTCCAATGGATTGAATTAATCCTTGTGGAACTGGTTGACGATGAATCAATGGACGGACTGGACGAACAGCAGTTTGCTGAATTGAGTGAGATTGTGATGAGTAGCTTTGAGCAACAGTTTGTGCATGATTGTTTAATGGACGGAAATTTGGTGGAGGTGCTTGTGGTCTGACTGTCTTTGTTGGAATTGGGGGACCATAATTTGGTCTTGGTGGGGAAATTGGTCTTTGAGGAGGTGGGGGTGCTGAGTGATGAATAGGTCTTTGTGGAGCAATTGGTCTTTGGGGTGGTCCTGCTGGTTTTCTACCATTATAAGATGATGGATATTTGCCTGGTGCATAAGAGTCTAATGGAGGTGCTGAGTACGAGTCACTACTTCCGGCTGAAAAGCCACTTCCACTTGAGAAGCTATTTGAAGTTGCCACCTGTTTTTGTGGGTATTGTGAATGGTTGGGAAGTGAGTTTCTATTGGAATTTGTGTTGACAAAGTGAGGTATACTTACTTCTGATGTGTGACTTTCATGAATTGCTTGTGACTTAATTACTTCACTATTTGCCGAAACTCCAAGAGTTGATGACACAAAACCAATAGCATTATCGAAATGTGCACCAGAATCAGCGATTGGCAATTGAATGTCTGTAGGGAGATTTGGAACTGTGTCAATTGTTCCATCATGTCCACCTGAGTGCTTAAATTCAACTAATCCACTTGGTGGTGGTCCATAAGAAGATTCTGGAGGTCCGAAATCTTGTGGATTTTGTGGTACACCATAAGTTAAATGTCCAATAGGTGGTGGTCCTGAATATGAGTTACTGTTTGATGAAACGGAACCAGATGATGAATGTCCTGAACTTGTAAGAGCTTGTGGTGGTAAATAGTTATTTTCTGGAGCTGGATGATGATTTGGTGGTCCATAAGTGTTATCAATTGAAGCAATAGCTGATGCCGATGAAGCATGTCCACTTCCAACAATAATTGGTGGTCCATATGAATTGTCAGGTGTATGAATTGAGTTTGCTGATCCACCACTGCTGGAATGTGAAGGAGGTCCGTAGCTATTTTGAGGAGCAATTGGAATTACTTGAGGAGCTGGTGGGCCATAGCTGTTTTGAGGAGCGACGGGTGCTGGTTGTGGGATATTGAAAGAAATTTCTTGATTACCAAAAGATCCAGAAGAAGCTGATGAACCGCTAGCAAATGAATTTGGAGCTCCGTAAGTATTGTGTGGTGAAATTGGTACAGGAGCGATTGGTGCTGGCGGGGCTGGAGGAACTGGTGGTCCATAGTTGTTTTGTGGTCTACGAGGTTCTGGAAGTCCGCCAAATGAGCTAGATGAACCACTTCCGAATGAATTTGATGAACTACTTCCGAATGAACTTGAAGATCCACTTCCAAATGAGCTGGATGTTGCTGGAGGTCCATATTCTTTTTGAGGGTTAGATGGTGGTTGAGGTACTCCATATGATGTATCAATTGATCCACTTCCGAAGGAGTTCGAAGAACTAGAACCAAATGAGCTCAATGATCCACTTCCGGATGAGTGAGATGTGGGTGGAGGTCCGTATTCTCTCTGTGGGTTAACTGGTGGTTGCGGTACTCCAAATGATGTATCAATTGATCCCGATGAAGCTGAAGATCCACCTCCAAACGAATGTGGTGGTCCATAACTGTGTTGTGGAGCAATTGGAGCTGGTGGGGCTGTTGGTGGTCCATAGTTACTGTGTGGTTGACGTTGAGGAGGTCCATACGATGTATCAACTGATCCAAATGAGCCAGATGATCCACTTCCGAAAGAATGTGATGAACTACCTCCGAATGAGCTGGATGATCCGCTTCCGATTGAGCTTGAGGAAGAAGGTGGGCCATATTCTCTTTGTGGATTAGATGGAGGTTGTGGGACACCGTATGATGTGTCAATTGATCCTGATGAGGCTGAAGATGATCCACTTGAGTAAGCTATAGGATTAAAAAAAGGTTAAAATATTTCAATGTAAAATTTCAATAAAATGCTTTGAAAATAAACTTTACTGATATACTCACATGTATCTTCAGGTACTACAATACTAAGACTTCCTGAATTATGTTTTGGTGGTCCATAAGATGTATCAACGATTGAGCCTGAGCTTGCAGAACCGCCTGCTGAATGAGGAATTGAAGGTCCGGGAATTGGAATCCATCCATCACAACGAACATCTGGATTATGATTGTGTGTGAATGCTTCAAGACTTCCACTACTGCTGCTATATCCACCAGCTGCTGCTGGAGCACCATAACTTTGTTGAGGTCTTGCAACAGGTTGCTGAGCTGGAGGTCCATAAGTGTTTCTAACAGGAATTGGTTGTGGTCGATTAACAACACGTGCTTGTCCATTATGTCCACCATTTCTCATAGCAGCAATTAATCTTTGCATAGCATGTAAGTTTCTTGCAGGTTGTCGCTGTGGTGGTCCATATTCTCGTTGTGGATATGCTGGCGCTTCACGTCTCTGTGCTTCTTGATTAATAACAGCACTAGCGCTTAAGAAGAAGAGACTTAAAAGATAGATCTAAAATATAAGAAGAAACAAAAGTTTATGTCATGCTTATAATTGAAACTAATTTCATCAATTGAACAACGCTGAATAGTGAAAACTCAATCATTCAGTCTGTCATCATTAATAAGGTTTTTTTTTGGAAGGTGTGCTTTTCGGTTTTGTGGCTCATTATATATTCTCATTCATCACTCAATTATTTTAACCACAAATATGGAATGAAAGCGAAGCAGTTAGTAATTTTGAGGTACTAAAATATAATGGTTTGGTGACATGCTATTGTATTAGGTAAGAGAAGCTCATGATGAATAATTGAGAAGATGATTTTTGAAGTGATTTGGATGTACTTTTAATAAAAAAAATTAAGGAAGGTTTTTTTTTTAAGAAAGCTTTAAAGGATCTTAAGTGTCTTTGTGTCAATAGGGTTGTCAGCTCAACAGTTGCAGCAACAGTTGCTCTTATCAGACTCTTAAAAAATCCCAAAGTGCCGATGCATCTCATTCAATCCCATCGAAAACTGCTCCACAAAACCTAAATGACCCAGTAAAAGTGTTTTGTGTATATTTACATTTGACATTAACTCACTCATTTCTCATTATGATCGTTCGCGTTTGAACACAGCCATAAAAAAAAAATCCATTCAATATATATTGTTTGTATATCCACTTCAGAAACGCAGACAGTTGAAAATAATAAAAGAATGAATGGAAAGTGAAACTGAAGTGGAAGAAAGTTTTGCGGTAGAGGAAATGAAAATTAAATTTAAAGTATGAGAATTTGAATTTTGAATAAATGCTAATTGAAAAGTAATTAATTTTTTTGGAATATGCTCACATGACGTGTGAGTGGTAAATGTGATAAATGACTGACATGGCGTGATGATGTTGTGAGAAGAAATTAATAGGTTTTCAGAAATTTAAATGAGATTATAGGAAGTTATATTATGGAACCATTCGGTTCCTAGATGCAGCTTTATCTGGGATAAATGAAAATTTCTCGAAACTAATGTTTGAAGCCCTAGATTGAAGTTGATGAGCGAATTCCTCGTAATAATTTCTACAATCTAGCTTGAAAGCTTTGTCTCCTTCATATCAAGCTGTCTATTACTTTTAAGTGTTGTTTGTACATCTCCAATCATGTCAAACAATACTACAAAGCTTTAGAACACTTCCTTCCTAGAATTAATCTCCTACAAATCATTTTTTAACCTATACAATGTAATACACACAAAAGTACAAAATAAAAAATCGATCGAGCAGGATTCTCAGATTCCCAATCATGAACAAAGTTGAATGAACTCAATAAAATTCAATTCGACTTCCTTTCGCCTGTAGAAATTCTCAAAAAAATTATTTTCAATCCTAAATCATCACAGTTCGTAAATTTTTATGGCATACTTGAAGCTTTTACTTATTTTTACTAAATTTTATTGACATTTTTATGTAGTTTGTCTGAGGAGTCACAAACAATTCACTATAAAAGCAAACAACCATAACAAATTATGGCAATAAAAGGCAATTAAGTAAAATATTTATCGGGCTTGGGTTAAAAATTACGTCGAAGAAAATATGGGATTTTAGGGCTACTAGCACTGATTCACTTCTGTCGACCTATTCCTATCGATTTCAAATAGCACAAGATCCCTCATTTCTATTTTCAATAGAAACAGTGATGGAAGAATGTTATCTAACATGCGCACAGACAAATTGTACAAACTAGGTGACAGAACCAGCAACAGAGTCAAATGGAAGGCCTTTTGTTGTAACATAGGAACCTGGTTACAGTAAGTAAGTAAGTAAGTATGTTCAAGAACAAGACATCATTTACGAATGACTCCATAAATCATTATAATTAGTCATATCATTTTATCTAGTTGAAAGTAATACTTCTAACTTAAATTATATATAATAAGTCATTCAAGCTGTTAATTTAACAGCCAATAAAGCTAGATAAGTGTAATTTTCTAAACACAACAAACACACAAAAAAATATGTAACACAAAACAAAATAAATTTTAAGTAAGAAGCACAGACTGAATATTCATTAATGCCCATATTTTCATTTCTTCTTCTTCTTTTGTGCTTTCTTTGTTATTTACATATTTTCTATATGCTGCCGGTACCATTTGTGTTAATAATGAAGAAGAAAAGAAAAAAAAAATATATAGAAGAAAAATGATAATGATGTCGAAGAAGAAAGAAGGCACAAAACAAAAAAGCTAGTAAGAAGTTCATTGTTAGACGAATGTCTGAGGTGCATTTTAATCGTAATAAGTGGATTAAATCAGCAAATATAATCCATTATGTAAGCAAGTTGTGTTTTGTTTTACAAATTCATTTTTCAAATTTGAGGCTTTTGAATCGACTTAGTTTTGGAGATTGTGTGATTTAATTACTAATTTTAAGGTGTTTTGTAGTTGATGTTGTTTAAGGAAGAAGTAGAACATGATTCAGACTTGCTAACTTGATGATAAGTAAGAGACAAAACTGAACGTCTGATTTTACAATTAAAATTCATTAAGGGGTCGTTCACTTATGACGTCCAAAATTAACGGTCATTTTTTAAAAAAGAACAATGGATTTCCAGGAATTTCTATTGTTCTTTTCTCGCTGACCCCCCCTGGACGTCATAAGTGAACAGCCCCTAAAATAACAAACTTTGTAAAGTTTTTGACTCGAGCTCCTTCTGTGGAGCACTAAACTAATGTAATATCGAATCCCCTAAGCCCCACCAAACCCGGAATCTGTGCAAATCTACTGCTACTTCCCATTCAACTGCCTTCAAACTGAATAGACAATCAGCTTCAATATTCTCAGTGAAAATTGCATAAAAATACCATAAACATAAATAAATAGAAGCCAACAGCACATATGCGGCACAAGTAGGGATTTTTTTATTAACTCAAATTGAAGAATCGAAAAAACACACTTTAATCATCTCCAAAATAAAAGATGAAAAACTTTCTCTTTCTCTGATTCGTTTTCATTGAAAAAAAAAAAATAATAATCAAAAATGTATTGAGAATGAAATTTCCATCTTCAATATCATCACGAAGTCATCGTTTACATTTAATTTCATGTTTATAATGCTGTTCCGATAATTTTTCATCAATACCCGGTACACAAGAAAAGATTCATTAAAGCAATTTTTTCCACTCGTGCATAAAATTACGACGGCGGCAACATATTGTTATTTCGTAGCTTTTACTTGTTCACGCGCGTCCTTGGTGTGGCCCATAATGGTCATGTTACATTGTGCATAAATGTGTAATGTAATTGAGTATGGTGCGAAAAAGAAAGTTTATTGTTGAGCGTTGCCCTTTTTGCTATGATTTTTCTTCTTGGTTAATGCAAAAATTTTGTTTAGAAAAACCGTGAACTTGACTTGTCACTTTGGATGTGGGTGGAAATACAAAAGCTTGTTTTTTGTTGAATTGGTGTGAACATTTTTTGACAATTTTTAAGTTTGTCGTTGAGTTGCAGAAATTAGTTTTTAATGGTTGTTTCCGCCATTTTTATTCAATTTTGTCACTTAAACTTAAATGTTTAATGTTTTTTGTTACTTTTTACGAACATAGCATATTCAGTTTCACGTTTGCTACATTTTTGATCACTAATTGATTGTTTCCATAAGAAAAGATCAATGCTAGTTCAAATAAATTGAAAAATACTTTTTGAGGTGAGAAAATTTTTCAACCAATTTTTAAAAATTCAAATATTTCAAAACCGTTAAATCACAAAGTCTCTAGAAATTGTTTTAAAATAATGGGTTTTAAACTTGTTTACTTCCAATCTTTCTTCCATTCCCCCATGACTTTATTGTTAATCATTTGCAAATGTGAACAATTAATTTATGCTTTTATATTGCGCCTTGCCCTTTGCAGAGATTTTTTTCTCTCTTTTCTCCGTCTCTTTTGGCAAAGAAAGTTTCACTTCTTCTTCCATCGTCTTAGCATTATGCCATTTATGTAGCTAATTTATAATACCATATAATATATTTTCCATCTCGATCGTTCTTATCCATTTCAAAGTATGAACTTTGCTTGAGCTGACTAACCTTGCTAATTTAGTAAAGTATAATCTGAATAGAAATTAAAGTTGTTCAACCATTAAACTGTAGTGATTCTGCACCATAGTTACATGTGGGTGTATGTGCATGTGGAAGAACTTTAGTCGAATTTCAAAAAAATTCTTTTCTTTGCACTTTAGATTTTCTTTTGGGATAGTTTTGTGTGAATTTTACTGAGGTTGCGGATCAACTTTAGAGATTGAAGAAGCTTAATACACAAAAGAGGTGTTAAAGCTAGTTTACTATTTAATTCAAAATAAAGCTTTCAGAAAAACTCTTCTGAAAGTCAGGAATGACGCTTAATTGACCATAGCACCTTCAAAATCTACCCAGAATCCCCACAAAGACACACTGCACTTGATTTAAACGAGCATATAGCTTATTGCCTTCTCATGTTCTCTCATACGATATGTAAAAGAAAAACATTGAAGCAATTAATTAAAGTTATAGATATTGAAGTGGAAATAGAACGGAATCAAATACAATATATCTGCACACGTTTCTTAAATGTGGAACAAGGCAGGGAAAAGAACAAAACCGAAAGAAAGAATAGAGAAGAAAGTTGAGTTAACTGAAAAGCAATTTCCCCAATTTTTCTTCTCTCAGTTACATTTAAGAATGTAAGTAGGAGGAAAGAAGTTAGTCGAGTGTAAGTCAATTACATGAGAATGGTAAGGCAAGCATAAAGCTTACATGGGAATGAGTTGTCAAAATATATCGATAGTCATAAAGAAAAAGTTTCTCTGTACGGTGACCTGACATGTGAGGAGAGTTTGGTATTGTATAGTTTCTATGATACCGCAGCATGAGACAAGAATTGAGGAATTGAATTTCTTTAAAATATATATTTTTGATATCAAGTTAAAGACAATTTTTTGGGTTGATTTGAATCGTGATAGGTGTGCTGCATTTATGGTTGCATCGCTGAATTAATATCTTGGTTCAGA